TGCCTGGAACATGGCATGCAACCCAATGGCCAGATGCTAAGTGACAGCACCACTTCAGGGGTAGATGACTCCTTCAGCACTTTCTTTAGTGAGACCAGTACTGGGAAATATGTGCCCAGGACAACGTTTGTGGACCTAGAACCTACAGTCATTGGTTTGTGGACCATGGGATTTGCCAGGGTGCTGGGACTTGAGTGTGGCCTGAGGGCTCTGTTGACCCCCCAGGACTGAGTAGGCCCCTGCAAGTTTTTAGTAATGGGCTGTGGGTCTGTCCTCTTCCAGATGAAGTACGCACTGGTACCTACCGCCAACTCTTCCACCCCGAGCAGCTCATCACAGGCAAGGAAGATGCTGCCAATAACTATGCCCGTGGGCACTATACCATTGGTAGGGAGATCATTGACCTGGTCTCAGAGCGAGTCAGGAAACTGGTAAGCACAGCGCTTTAACATTTTAAATTGGGGTTAAGAATTTTCTCTTCCAGCGTTTTGTTTTTGCTTGTTGAGACAGGATCTCACCTTGTAGTCCAAGCTGGCCTTGAACTCAGGATCTTCTTGCCTCAGGCTCCCAAGTGCTAGACTGACAGGCATGCACTGCCATGGCTGGCCAAACTGTAAGAATCATTCTTTGCAATGAAAATGACAGGCTGGAAAGTCTCTACACTAAGTGGCCTGTAAATCAGATGGTCCTGGTTATGGGACAGCTGTCACAAAGGGTTCTAACTTGTGCTGACTTAGGCAGTTGTGCTCATTCCTTTAAGGAGGGCAATTTACTGGGTATCAAAATGAGAACAGAGAATCCATAACAATTTCGTGACATTTAAGACCATTAAGCCTCTTTGCTTCCGGGTGAGACTTCATCCCTGTTTAGGTCATTTTAGTTACATTAAGTGGCTATGCCTATGAGTAGCTGATTGATCAAACTTTTTTTAACAATCTGGGCCTGTGCCTATGTTAATAAAGTTCAGGGCTGGGGGTGAGCACAGAGGTAGCTCTTTCTGACATAGGCAAAGCCCTCAGCCCACTAGGAAAAAAAAACGTTCCGCCTGCAAGAAGCCAGCGTAACTATATACAAACTGCTAAGATGGAAAGTTGAGACCTCCACCAAACTGAAAGTGGAAAAGAACTCAGGAGCTTCCATAGGATGGAAGCAGGTATTAGCCATTGAAACTTTGATGTTTTGAGGTGCAGCTGCAGAGCAGCAGTTGCTGGGCTTTTATCAGGGCACTGAACTGGCTCTGTGGCAGAAGAGTTTCACGCAACTTCTTTCACATCAGGATGGTTGGTAAATGTGGTGTTTGGATCATTTTGATTACGAGCTTGGCAATCCGGTGACCTGCTCCCTATGCATTGGGCAGCTTGTAAGTAATTAACCAAAAATCAAGTGTGAAGGTCTGGGTAGAGCAGCTTGTCAGGAGAATCGCACACTAAGCCCAGCCACAACGGGTATGTTCTGAAAAGAATGATTTTGAGTCATTCTCATACTTTCCTTGGATGTTTATCACAAGAGTCCCAGAAAACTGGGTTAATGGCTCTTATAAGGGCAAATCAAGCTTCAGCTGCAAGCACTGACTTGGAGATCAGGGACCTGCTTTTAGGGGCAAATATAATAAAAGCCATCTAGGGTTCAGAGGGGAAAATCACTGAGTGCCAAAACAATGAACTCGTCCTTGGGGTTATGAGTGCATTCCCAGGACCCTAAAGGGATGCTGTGGTAGACATGGGGTCTGCCCTACATGTGAGTC